CCCAACACTCTCAGCCCACTCTGTTGACATTCGATGAAGCGTTTTTAAATGAGCTTATTAAGAAACTTTAGGACTCCTTCATCATACTGCTGATTCACAAAGTTAATCTCAATTTATCCTCACTTCTTTTCCATTGCCTTTTTCGTGTTCACATTTAAGTCTTGCATGCATACAATAGCTACACTTGAATAAACAAAAGAACTAGCTTGGATTATTTGTGTGCCCTGCATAACTCGTTCTGGTAGTGTTGTTACCTTTGTTTAGCGAGTTCATTTACCCCTCCCCTCAGGGTTTCATTATCGAAGGTGTCAATAAAAAACCACTCAATAACCTGTGGGATCATTAATACAATACATCTTAATGATAACTTAACAAAAAGGAACCAAATTGTCGTGTTTAGAAGACCGGTTGAAGAGCAGATTTATAGTTACAACGAATAATTTCCTCCTTTAAAAAAAATGATAACGTGGCTACTTTATCATTAATTGTCAAATGATTTCTGTTTTTGTTTTTGACATTCGAGTTTCAATTTTTTGAGTAAATTCTCCTTCAAAAAGTTCTCTCAAACTTTTAGATTTAGTTCAAATTCAAAAAGGGAATTTTTCAATTTTTCTTGATTCTCCTCACTTTTTGTAATTGCGTGTGATGTAAGAGTTGTTCCAATTAAGGACTCAACAAGGACACGGTGGGGAAAGTTAATGTCTCTCGTTATGTGCCATCCCTGATTTTTGAGGCTTCGGGGGTGTTGTTAATTTATGCTAAGGACATCCTTGTCTGTCAATCTCATGTTTATTTTACACAAATGTCCTCTTAAAAATCCCCTCTTGCAAAATGCAAAAAGGCTTCGAGCGCTATCTTACAAAGTAAATCCATTAATATAGACCACATTTCCATTTGAAAATCTATCCACCCTTCAAATTATCCCAAATGAAAATCGGGGAAAACGAGAAGAAAAGGGGAAAATAAAGGAGGAAACTGAGAGTATGGATGGCATCATAGCGGGATTAGGTTCTGCATTTTCAATAAACAGTTCCCCATGCTTCAATTATTTTGCCACTCAGCCCCCTCGGGAAATGTAATCAACTTCCAAAGGGTATTGCTCAATTGCCTGCCCTCTTTTCTGTGCCCGGTAATGATAGCATGCTTGAATGGAACACCCTTGCTTCGATTTCATTACACTGCAACTCATTTTTCGGGCCTTTTCTCAATTGGAAATTCATATTTTATTTCATTACATGTACAGCTAATAGCTCCTACAAATGATTTAACAATGATACTTTTCAAATACCAGAAAGAATTGAATATAGCAAGTTGCTGTGTAACATAGTGTTCCGACCACTGTGAATTTTGCCTGTTAAAAAAGAAAGACCTAAAAAAGACCCATTAAAGAAACCTATTAAAGAAAGACTAATATTTTTCAGTTTTCAAAAGTCACTGATTTTTTCCCGAGTTGACGTTGGAGCTTTTTTTTTCTCGATAAAACTTTTCTCCAGGCTCAAATTTACTCGCTTAAATGATAGATAGAACATATACCGTCAATACCGTCAACCAAGTTTCTAACAATTTTTTTCTCGAATGAACGAGTAACAAGAAACGTTCGTTGATGAAGAAGCGAAAAGAGTAACTCCTGTCTGATACTGTTTCAAAAAATTTGTGGGGGAATTTTTGACCGATTTTTGGATTTTTTTAATTTCTCGAAAACTGCCCACCCAAATCTGAGATTTTTGATTCAATGGAAGAACCGGGTTGTGAGAAATTCTGCTGCAGTAGGGGTTAAACCCAAATTTTTTCTTTACAAAATTTATCGTCCTCGGAAAAGTCATATTTTTGCTTTTGTTAACTCTTTTTTGAAACTTTTTGAATTTTCTCGAAAACTACCCTCCCCCTCATTAGCCCCCCCCCCCCTTAGGAACTCGACCCCTCCTAAGGAGAAACAACTAAGGTTTTGGATGAAGCCCAGCTTTTAAATTTTCAAAATAACCACCTTCATCCCCCATCAGTACAATAAATTCAAAAATTGTCAATCCCGTACCTGTAACTTTAGTTGGGCCCCTAGTTAGCAATGAAACCAGGTTTTTGGAAAACTTCTGCTTGCAAATTAAAAAAGAAGTTTTCATATCTTTGAGCTGCGCGGGAAAGTTTTGGATGGCTACCTTCCAAGTTTTTCAAAAGTGTTTATCTTGCCGTGTAACATGGTAAGATAAGCATTTTTTAGCACGATGTCTCAATAGGAAAATCAAGTTCTTGGCTGAATTGTAATCTTTGAAAACTTGTAACCCGGGTTGACGTACATAGAAGAAGAATGCTTATCACACAGTTTCATATATGAAGTCTCTGGAAAAAATGCTTATCATAGAAAACTCCAAAAGTGTTTAAAAATTTTTCAATGAACATTTTTGGTCTAATTGCCTTTTTTGAAGCTTTTTGATCATAAAAAAAACGATTTAAATATTTTGATAAAAAATGCTTGTCATACAATTTTCATGTATAAAAATTATTCAATAGTCAATTTGTCATAGAAAAAACAAAATTTTGTCTGGGACACTTCAAAAAGGTTTAAATAATTATATCTATGATAGAGGGAATTTCGACAATCAAAAACATAATTTTAATTTCGCTCAGAAAAATGCTTATAATAAAGTTTTCTTTTATGAAAACAGTATGATATGCATTTTTTTCATGAACAAAAACAAAAGTTTCAGGTAAAAAATTGTTAATCTCTTTTTCGGTTGCAAACTTGCTTTTAAGCTAAAATATAAATTTTACGAAAAAAAAACTTTGCATGCAAATTTTGACTTTGTGTGTTTATAACGTTGTCCAGGATGAGTTTTTCACCCAAAAAATCCAAAAATTACAAGAAAGTTATTTCATTTGCTAAGATAAAAATAAATTTGTAAAAAAAAGGCCTTTTTTTCTCAACCACCAAAATTTTCATACTAAAAGCTATCTAGCCATTCTCAAAAAGTTACTTTTTTGGTATATAATTCCAGGTGAAAATAATAAAATTAACTTTTAAGGCTAAAATTACCACATGCAGGTTATCTGCGTGGTAACTGCCAGTTACACTCTGGGTTTTCTTATGACAAAAAATCCTTGGTTAGTGTTTCGATTGAAACACAAAATTTCGAAAAAAAACGTTCCTTTTTTCATTTATGGAATAAATGCTTGTCATACAATTTCATAGTATGAAAAAAAATGCTTATCATACAATTTCATTGTATGGAAAAAATGCTTATTTTGCTATTTTCATACACTTAATTTTGCTCTATGAAATTGTATGAAAGAGTATGATAAGCATTTTTTTCATATATGAAAATTGTATGATAAGCATTTTTTGTCAACCCGGGAACTGTCTACAGAATTGGATAAAGTAACAAAAAATGATTTCTCGATCTACTGCTTACAAAAAACGGTAGCCAGTAGAAAGGTCAGTGTGTTTTTTTCAAAAAGTTAAATATTTCCTCTTTTACTGTAGTTACAATTCGATTACAAAAATTTGACCATAGAGCTTCGCAGATTCTCCCTTTTGAAAACCCGTTAAGATATGTATTTAATTGTAATAACAAGTGTCATGATATGGATGTTCGTTCTGGGAAAAACTTGTAACTTCGTTCTTGGAAACCCAGTATATTTGAAAAAAATGTTTGCTACTTGCTAATCAACACGCGTGCGTCACAGTAAATTTAACGCTGGCCACTTGTGTGGCACATAAAGCTAGCGATTTTGTTGCAAGTTTATCAACTCCAAGAGATAAAATGAAAAACAGTAATGAAGGTTTTTCAAACGGGAGAATCTGCGAGGCTCTCTAGACGACTTCTTGTCATCGAATTATAATTTTTAGAGCTGTGGATAGTTTCGGTTTCTAGATACCTTTCTGTGGGATTAACAGTCTCTCTCCCCCTTTCAAGAACTTAGTAGAATATTAAGTAGATTATTACGTAGATTATGTCAGTCGAACTTCCGTCCAATCAGAATGCATCAAAGTTAGAAATCTCAATAGAACGCTCTAGTGCTCTCCACTGTATTTATTTATAGGGGTGGAGTCTCTTAATTAGATACCATGGCGGGGGGGGGGGAGATTGTTAAGTAGATCCGAAAAAAAACCAATTCCACAAAAGATAAAAATTCGTTCCAAATTTACTATTTTTTTAGCTAAAAAATTGTATCAATAGTCGACGCTTTTACTTTCAGGCTCAAATTTATATATTTTTTGTGATACTGTTTTAGAATTTTCTGGTCAAAAAAACTGCTGACTGTTGTTTCTGGTCGAAGCAAATTTAAAATCGAAAAAACTAACAAAACAAATTGGTTGTGATGCAAACTGCGAAAAGTATGTAGCTGGGTCATCTTTCTAGAAAAAATTACAATGCGATAAAATTCACCACAATTGATTCCTCTTAAGTCTGCTTCTGTGTACTTTTTGTCGGCATATCTTTCAGCTCCGTTTTTAAATACTGACAAACCAACCCGTGAACTAAAGAGAAGCAGATTTAAATGTTGTGCTAAAGTCAATGAAGTTTTAACATTTGTCTACGAAGCGAAGAATTGAAGCAACTATGATTATTAAAACCTCCGAAAAATTTAATGCTTTGATTTTTTTACTGCATTAAATGAAGTGATCTAATTTTGTACGAAATTTGAACGTGCAAATTTTTAATATAACATTTAGTTTTGAATATCTGAAAGCTATCATAATTCGCTCAAAGTCACGCACATTACTTCAAAGTTTATGCGCAGAAGTAGCTTTCAAAAACTATTTCTAACTTTATAAGTGAGTAGAAGTTTTATTTAGTTACTGGGTTAAAATTTCGCCAGTTTTGGCGCATTTTTTTTACTGTGGGTACTTCTCTTCTGTTTGACCCTTTTGTCGTATAAAAAATGTTAAGTTTGCTTATTTCGACCAACAGATGCTTCTGACAGAGTGGCTCATTATTTTAGGACCTTCCTGCGACTACAGAATGTCGTCAACAAAAGAACTTGGCGGGGGCAAGTACCTTTACGACGAACAGAAAACACTGGGTCGTGGTGCGTTTGGGGTCGTGTACTTGGGTCGCATTAATGACTCATCTCGCAAGTTGGTGGCTGTGAAATGTATAGACTGTAAGGATGATGACAGAGACAGTCTGATGTTAGTGTTCCACGAGGCCACTCTCCTGCTCACGCTCAAGCACGACAACATCGTCCAGACGTACAATTGCTACCCGGTGAGCTAACACCCTCTTAGATTCAACTTCACCAGATTTGATTTAGGGGGAAGAATCCTTTCAAGAATTTCATACCCTCGCCACCAAAAGGCTGCCTTTTCGTATTACTTTGCGATATCCGTTTTTGGGGCAGCATTCCTGTTTTTTTTCTGAATGACTTCGGCGCTAGTATATATTAACGTCAACGCAATTTTTGATTGGCCAACGCATGAAAAAAATTCAGAATGTCATTTTTGGCGTTTTTTCATGTTGCCTGCAGTCGCATGAAGTTTTTAGACTATGACGACCTAATAAAATGGATGCAGTTTTCGAAAAAATAAAATGAGTGGTCTGCGTATTTTTCCGCAGACGGAATCTTACATTTATCTCGTCATGGACTTCTGCAACGGCGGAGATCTAAGCGATGTCCTCAGTAAAGTCGAGAAACTCCCAGAACCTGTCATCCAAATGTTCTTGAAACAAATCGCCGCCGGTCTGGGCTACATACACTCCCAGAACATCATTCACCGTGATCTGAAGCCGCAGAATATCTTAGTTCACTGTGACAAAGCCAGCAAAAGTAAAGACTTCGAACTGGATGAAATAGTGTTAAAATTAGCCGACTTCGGCCTGGCGAAGCAGATGGCAAAGAATGAGAGGCTCCAGACCGGTTGTGGAACCATCGCCTATATGGCACCGGAGATCATGTGTCAATCGGAGTACGACTCAAAAGCCGATATTTGGTCACTGGGTGTTATCCTGTACGAATGCATGATGGGAAAACTTCCTTTCGAGCTGCACGACTTGCCAAACCTTTTGACACTTTACCAGAGCAAGGGTAGCGGGGGTTTGAAACTGGCAATTCCAGAAGCCACATCGGGACCCCTGATGGATCTCTTGAAGCGGATGTTGCAGGTGTTGCCTGAGAATAGGGGAAGTTACAAGTCAGTGACTGAGCACCCCTTCTTCAAAGCTTCAAGCAAAAAAGCTGGAGGTAAGGGGTAGATATTTTACCATCAATTTGATTTAGCCGGTCAAAGCCTCAAAAACTTTCTTGCATCTCTTCTCAAAACTTCCAAAAATAATAAAAATGTCCAAAAATTGAAGATTTTTCGGATGGATTTTCCCAAATTCAGCAAAAATTCTCGGTATTCTTATGCGTTTTTTAACGAACCGAAAACAGCAACGGCGGAAAACTAAAACCGAACTCTAAGCCAAACTCGGAAAACTAAAACCATTTGGTGAGCAGGGACGAAAAGTCATATTTCTCAAAGTAACCTAAAATCTTTGATAGCTAAAAATATATTAGTTTGATTGGTTTTCAAGTTCTTAAAACTGTTTCAATTGATATTTAGACAAATAACTGGAACAACTTGAACTAGATTTTGGCAATGATAAATTATCGAACTCCACAAAATACAAACAGCGCTTCTGATAAAAGCAGCATTTTTGCATCTTGTGTGACTTATCTGATATCGCAACTGAGAAAAGTTTTTACAAAGATTTCGAGTTATCTCAACAGTGTCCAATTTTCAACGCCTAAAACATTCCTCACGGTATTTTGTTTTTTTTTTGTGAAAAACTATTGGAAACACTATGTACGTTAAGGCCGATAATGCTTCCCGTCGAAAAATTGTTGCACGTGGAACTGCTATTACATAACTTTTCATATCCTTAGCTTATAACTCGTTCAATTGTTTTTAGTACGTCTATCTGAACTGTCCACCAACGCAGTCGGCTTCTCCGGTAACAAGCTTTCAAAAGAATCTGCTGATTCTACCGACTCATCTGGATATGGTTTGTACTTCAAAAAATTTAAACAGAAATTAGTTCCCTTTCAAAACATTCAAATTGTACAAATCAAAATTCTATATTCGACAGATTTAATATCTGAAAAGTAGGAAGGAGTAATTGCGGTTTTTCTCTAGCCAGTTTAAGGTGCCTCGAAGAAATTTTGCAGTGGGTCAAGTTTGATGCCAGATAGAGAACATTTCCATTCATTCCAAAAGCCAGACCATAACTGTGGATCTTTTTTTCCGGACTGAAACAATTTAACCGACTAAAAAAGCAACAAAAATATAGAAAAGAACATACAAAGTTTTTTCAAAAAGTAAACGTGATTTTTTATATACTTCCGTTAATGTTAATCATTACCATGCCTTTAAATCATCACTCCTTACATTAAAGTCACAGTCGACATATTATGTGCTACACAAACATCATCGGGCTTTTAATAATTTATTATTCAAAGACTTATGCAATGATTAAAAACACAAAAAACAAAGACTTTTAGGAAACTAAAACTCCTCTATCAATTATTGATAGATTTTACTGAAACTTTAATGATCTTTCCTCCTGCATTTTTGTTACAATTTCAACTATAGGGAGTCTTCTAGCTTTTTCCTCAAATTCAAATAATCAACAAAAATCAAAAAGATGCCGGGCTTATGATAATTCTGTAAAAAAAGGGTCTCCTTTATTTCCCAATGACTGAAATTCTTTTAAGTATTCCGACTGGGTTAAATTTACTGGGTTAAAAAAACTAGGATTCTGCGCTTTCAAAAAATCATTTTATTGGCTAATAGTTTGATCTTTTTATTAAAATTCGAAGCTTGATCGAAATGTATCAAAATGTATCAAAATGCTTTCTAAAAGCGAAGCGCGTACTATTTTTGTTATATTGGCTTAACATCTATTCAAGTTGAACAAACTTGACATTTTTGCCGCAAAATGTTAATTGAAATAAAAAAATAATGACGTATAAAAATGTGTCGGCATAAGTATCAGTTGTGCAAAGTGTTTGAAGGATATTTTCTTATCAAAATTGATGACAAGTAGGCGAAATATGAAATTTTTTTCCGAGTAAGATCGGGAAAAGCGCGTGTGGTGAAAAGTGGTCGAAAACGGCAATTGATCCAAGCGGCAAATCGCATTATTTTGAATACGCAACTAATCGAAAACAACAATTCGCATTTTTTCAAACAAGCGACAACTCGTCGAAAGCAACAATTCGCACTTTTCTTAAACGCGACAAATCGCACCAGCAATTTCTAATAGAGTTATGCCGAAAACGAATTGATACGCGCTTGTCTGAATCGAAACACGAACTGTTTGCAAATACGCCAGGCCACTGGGAGAGAATTGCATCAGGCAAATATCGCTTAATGCAAATTGTGAGTTTTTCCTAATACTAACGATTGTTATTTTCACCATGTGATGCACTCTTGTAAGCTGCGAGGCTCGGGTTAAAAAACTTGCTTCAATGTCGGTAAATTATCGGCAATTTTAAACACAAGACTAAATTCAAATGAAAGACAACTGAAAAACAAAATAAGCATTTTCCGGTTAACAAGAAATCAGAAAACGTTCTCAACAACCTCAAAAATCTGAAAACATTTTTGATGGCAGACTGACGTTAATCGGACAAACCAGTATTTTCAAAGCCTTTTGTACGTCTTAGAAAATCTCGCTTTAGCTTCATACTTTTGCGCCATATGACATCAATAGTTTAAGCGCGAACAGACCATTTGTCGCTCTCGACACGTTATCGCGCCATCAAAAATTGGCATAAATGATTTGATGGCAATAGAAAAAACGTAATCCTATCATCAAAAAAAATTTAAATTGCACTTTAGAAAGACTTCAAAATGTCAAAAAGTGCTCAATCGGATATAAACTTCGTATTTCTGAACTGAACTTACCTTACTTGATGACGCTTGCGATGAGCAAGCGTTTTCAAACCGGAACATTGACTTTTTTGGGTTGAAAATTTAAAAAAAAATGTTTCACACTTGGTTCATATGAAATCAAAAGGAAGACGTTATTTCGCGCCTGTGGCGAAGAGGCAATGCACCTGCCTAAAAAGACAAACGTCACCTGTTTCGAAACCGGTTAAAACGTTTTTTTGTGAGCTGAAAATTTTCACTGCGTCAAAAGCTCATTGTCGGCTTAGTGAACGAATAACCAATTTGTTTAGATATTTAGTAGTGATAATAGTTTTGCTATTTTTTGACTTTTTTAATGCTGCACATTAAACATTTTTCAGTGTTGTGTTTTTTTTTATCAATTCAAACATTGTTCTGAGCATTTTGTGCAGTGGTAACAATCATGCTTGAGACGACAAATCGACATCTTTTTCTCTCGCAAGTATTGCGAAGCTCCGCTTTGCCTCTGTGTTCTTAAATAAAACTGAGCTTTCTACAAACAAACATCCTGAAAAACATTTGGAGTTTCAAATTGAAACATTTTACCAAAAAACTTTCTTTTTAGGCTATAGTAGTAGTCGAATACGGTCATCAATCAGAGTCTTTCGAACCAACTTGAAATTAGTCAACACTGTTTTGTTTTCTTGACCAAATTTTTATTCTATTTAGATGTGAAAGTTAAAAAATACTAGTTTATGAACTAATTTAGATTTTCAGCAAAGACAAGTCTAGAGAGAGAAAATCTTGTTTAGATTTCAGGTCGCCAATCATTTTGTCCGTGAAATTTATTTCAGCTGTAGTTACTCCACCGCCGGCTCAAATTCATCGCAATGAGGGCTAGAAGGTTCGTTTCAGGACGAAGCTTTGAGTTTTTTGTTTGATTGTTGTTCTCAATTAACCACCTAGTTTTTTTAAATACCAACTCTACAAACTTCTCAGTTTTTCTTGTAAAATTTTAGCTGGCCCAAACAAAAACCCTTCTTTAAAATCGGAAAGCAGACTAACCGAGCCCAGTTTGGTTGAGGTTTTATGATTAGAATGTCCGAACCGAATTTTGGTATTTGTAGACTGTCAGAGATGCGTCCGCGACCGACACGAATGAAGAAAAATTAATCGAAACCGGTGCTACTGAATCATTGTATCCGCGACCGAATAGAAGAAAAGTTACCGTGATCGGCTCGACCAGAAAAAGTATTTGCGACCGTGGTACTCGATTTATAACTCAAATTTTGCTACGTATGTTCGGTATATATTTCATCCGTCTCGACCCAATAAAAACATAATTGAGTTTGCTTGAACCAGCTCAAATTTGTGTCGACTTTCTCGGCCAAAATTTTCGGTAGATACTCTCATTTCAGGTTCTCCTTGTGATTTTTTCTGCAGACTGAAAGTATTTTGAAAATTAGTAACAATTTTTCAATTTGAATAAAAACATGAACTTTTTTGAAAGGAAAAGTCGGAACCACAGACTCAGCGATTCGCCATAATATTATAAAATGTGCAGTCATGTTGTCATTATAAAGGTTGTTTCATGACACTTAGCAGAATTGTTTGGGCTTTTAGGCAGCATTGGAAGTAGTAGCAGTGAGCTGTGGAAGAGAGTGAGTGTGGTGAAAGGAGACATCACCAATCTGAAGGTGGACGCCATTGTCAGTGCAAGTCAGTAGAGCTGTCTGCGTTTTATTTGTGATTAATATTTGAACTATGCCAGCAGATGTGACCCCAATAATTCTAACTTAAATGATATCGTTACAACGACTTCTTTTTCAAATTCTGCATGAAACTCTGTTATTCCAGGCGAAATTGCATGCTTAATGAGAAATTACAGATACTCCATACGTTCTAATTTCTGATCTGGGGACAAGGGTAAGGGCTATTGAGTCCTGTCGACTTGAGCGCAATGAAAAAATTCCTCAACCGAAAATATTTCTCAAAAAAACAATCTGCGAAACTTTTTTAGGCACGAGGTGCCTTAATGCGGGTGGAAAAATCTACTGAAAAATCCATAATTACTCCAGCCCCTTCGAAGATTGATCGGAATTGTAAAGCTTAAATTTTAACAAAAGTTTCATTTGACTTTTTATTCTAAATAATATACCCTGAAAAACAATTTTTAGCCTTTTGTGATATTTCTCAATTTGAAAACATGGCTATTTACCCAAACAATACAAAAATGAGAAGTATATTATTTCACCGTTTTGAGGTCCGTAATTCCGCGCCTTTCGGTCTGTTAAATAATGATCTCATTTGATTTCAGCAAACAGTCAGATGAATGGTGGCGCGGGCGTCGATAAAGCTGTTCACGCACGAGGCGGCCCCGAGCTGACAGCCGAGTGCAAGAATCTTGCACCATGTCGGGTAAGCGAGGCGAAACTAACGAAAGGATACAAGCTGCACGCCAAGCATGTAATACACACAGTTGGACCTTCCGATAAGAACCAAAAACAACTGGCGCGCTGTTACGCGAACTGTTACTTGAGAATGCTTGAATCGGGAGCAAAGACTATCGCGTTTTGCTGTATTTCAACTGGAATTCTCGGCTATCCAAGAGTGGAAGCTGCTGCAATCGCACTGAGCGTCACCCGTGATATACTCAAGAAGGTCGACTCGGACGCTGTTAGTTACACAGAATTCGACTAACTAATCATATCAATAACCAAATTGAAATTGAGTCTTTCCTATGAAAATGTCCAAAATCAATTTTATGCAATTGGGCGAACTTTATATTGGTATTTTTGATTTCATTGTCCGATACTGAGGTCGATCTTTGTATTGGACCAAGCGAACACAAAGACAAAAAGTTTGTCAACAAAGCTGCACCATCTCAAAATAAAAGCATATTGGCGCCTTTTAAAGTGTTCTGTTCAAAAAAACGTAGAAATCTTTGGCCAATACTAAGGTTCAAAACAAGTTTTTTTTTGCTTTTCAATTTAAAACGTGATGGGACTTGAAGCAAGATTCATACTTGAAAACTTGTCAAATCAACAAGCTATACTGATCGTTCTTGTATCAAATCGTTTGCTGGTAAATTTCGATTGTTTTGGATTAGACTGTAATTAAAACCAATTTTTCAGATTGAGAAGGTGACTTTCTGTTGCTTCCTGGATGAAGACTTCCAAGTATATGATCAGCTTATCCGCAAAAAGTTCTTCCCTCGATCTTCATCTGAGTAGATGACTCTTCACGGGAACGAAATTTAATGATGGCGAAAACGAAACGAAAGCTTACACAACATATATTTCAGACTTTTTCAGCGAGCTGGTTGAACATCATCCATATTTGTGTACGAACTTCATCATCTAACCACTTAATTTGGCCCAACAAACTCGACCCAGATAAATTAACCTTGACTTGTTTTATATTGATTAGTTGACTTCATTTTACAGATATGTAGTTTTTTTGTGAGAATAGAAAAGCCAAACAAGTTGAAACTGAGGTAATTACAGCGTGTTTTAAAAAATGTCAGAAAACTCTAAAAAAAATTGATGCTATCTCAAGAATTAGGCTTCTTGTAATCAGAAAATTTCGAGAAAAATAGGCATCCTGCTATCACGAGGCTTCCAACATGTTAGGCAAATTAGGCTTCCTATCACACGAGATAGATTAGGCTTACTACAGGTTAAAGGTTTTCCTTCAACCGTGAGAAAAAGCAGTCAGAGCCTTTGGTGAAACTGATTCCGTTGTCACATGCTTGTAATGCATTTACATCGCCTATGTAATGTGCTGCGGTTTCCGCTATGCGCCATATGTTTCATTTTTTATTGCGTTCCGGAAATTTGCTATTAGTTCAGCAATTACTTCACTGCAATCAAGTTCAGTCAATCAAATTTTAGAAAGATTTCAAACCTCTATCTGTGTGCCCGGATTGACCAAAAATGCTAGTCAAACAACTTTTATATATAGAAAAATGCTACTCATACACTTTTCATGCAATTCCATAAGTACAGAAAATTGCATGAAAGGTCTATGATTAATGATTTTTTATACATGGAGATTGTATTTTGTCCATAAACCAAAAAACTAGCATTTCTCTATAAACCAAAAAACCCACGCCTCTATAAACCCATACCCTAGCCCTTAAACATGTAAGCCTGAGGGGCTATATCCGTACTTGATTTTTTAAAAATGTTTTTTCGCTCTAATTCGGTTCAGCCTTGATTAATGTTGACCGTTAAAAAAAGCAATTTGTCTCAAGGACAAATACTGGCCATTTGCAGCTTGCTTTGAGTTATTTAGATGATTATGGCCAATCTTACCGATAATAAAGTATGCTCGAAATCTTTAAGTTCAAGAATTTTTCAGAGTTATTTTATCGAGAAAATAATCGTTATTTCATTTGTTTGAAATCCGATATTTTTTTACGACTTGTGGAGAATAACGGGCACAATTTGGCGCCCCACAAGGGACCACAGAAGGATATCACAGAGGGATACATGAACCTGTGGCGACCACAGAGGGATACTTAAACCGCATTTTTCTGAACGATTACACAAAGTCGAGCAATCAGCGAGAGAACGCCAAGGATCCACAAGGCACTGGCTCAAGTTCGACTGAGAACGAGTGGATCCAATGAACAAGAGATCCAAGTTGTTGTGACTGAGTACGAGAGCAATGGCGCGATCATGAGCCCACGGAGATACATTATTTTCTGCTGCTAGATGAAACCAATGGTTTGATATATTGCGCGAAACTTATGTGTAAAAGTGTTTGTTTTTGCTTATTCCGATTAAGACTGGCAAAAAAAACGTCAAAAAAATATAGGCTGACGAAAAGACAATTGTCAGTGAAACAGACTGAAGAGAAGTCAAATAAAAAAATAGCGATATACTGGATTTTTTGGCCTGGCTGAAATGGAAACGTTAGCACAGGTGTCATGAGTGCAGTATTTCACTTGTGAGAGAAATTTCCGGTGCCAATAAACTCCAAAATTATCAAAAACTGTAAGACTCGTCTAGATTTTATAAATCGTTCATTGCAATAAAATAACATACTAAGTATTTTTGTGCATCCCTTTCCCGAGCTCTAAGTGGTAGTTTTTTCCCGATACCACAAATTTGGGTTAAGGTGAACGGATTAAAAATTCAGAAAAACTAAACACAGACAAAGGTACTAGCTCATTTTTTCGGATAAATATCTGACTCGATCCCTCGAACCGTAAATTCTGTAAGCATTTTTTGCTAATCGGTATTTTAGGTGGAAAAAACCTCCCGAAGAGTGGAAAACTGTTGAAATCTACGACAAAAATTCAACAAAATCTGTTTTTTTTTGACATTTCTAACATTTTTTGATTTTCTCATTCTGAATTGGCAAAAAAATAGATCCATTGGATTTAGCTTCATATTTATTAGACCCTTTGATTAATCAGTACAGGAGACTTAAAGCCTTAAAACTTCAAGTTACTACTGCTTGTAAGTTATTGACGTATTAAAGTTTTTTGATGATTTTACTTGACTGAAAATAAAGTATTTTCTTCGAGTTGTTTTTTTTTCTGAAATAAATATGCATGGAAGTTAAATTTTGGAAACAAATAAAGAAGTTGTTTGAGAGAAAAAGCAATCTCGAGAACGAAATTTTTAAATGCCACAAAAATATTTTGGAATACATGGAGAGTCAGAGTCGTTGCTCACAAAATGATACATATTTTGAAAAAAATAGGAACTACATAGAACAAGCGGGCGATGTAAATAATGAATTGATTGATTTGGCGTCAAAAATGCTAAATCTGACAAATTGATATCGCCACAGGATATATAGCTTCATAAGTTGACGCAAAGTAATGATAAAGTTTTACAAGAAGCTATCACATATGAAACAAGTTTGAGCAGCTAAAAAAATCTCATTTTACCAAAAAAAAACCACAGTCGCATAAAACAGATACCCGCTCTAAGTTGTCAAATCCAAGTAGCCGACATCAGCAATCGGTTTGTCAGAAATCTAGTTGTTTTACCGCCGCTCTTTCGAAAACTCCTCGAGAGAAAAAGTTCGATTTTATGCTTTTGAAGAAAAAAAAGGGTAGCTTGAGAGGCAGGCAAAAGTGTCATTAAGACTGAGAGAGCAGGAAAACATGATGAAACAATATTTTTTCGAACAATAAATTAGTATAGAGTTGGAAGAACTGGCTGAAGAACAAAGGAAAAAGCTGGCAGAAATTGAATTGAAAGGGCTAAATTTGAAAGGTGAGTTGTCGGCAATCAGCGAAAGAGCCGTGGAAAGTGGTTTAATTTGAATCTCTCCACAACTAACAAAAGACGACAAGGATTGTACACGTCACTGCGTCGAATCTGTTGACCACAATCAGTCTGACAATGTTTTATTTCCCAATCAAGAGCAGCACGTTCGTTCGACAGCACCTGAACAAACTTATCCTGTTTTAGTAAGTTCCTTAGTCTTATCAAAATTTACAGGAGTGAATAATGGCCAGGCAGCTTCTGGTGAACCGGAATTAAATTTCAGTAACCACATTGGACAACAACGACAAAATTTGTCGAATTGATTCAATCACAGCTCTGCTGCTTTCCGTTAATAATCCGGTAAATTTACAGCAATTCATGCAACCACTTGTTGATAATATGCATCAGCAAACTGTTTTGTCTACTCATCCATTTCTGGATAATCCAAAACCAGGCTTAGTCCCGGTAACTTCTGACAACCATTTTCTATTTTGCTCCGACAACATCCGCAAAAGTTCCTTGTGGTTTTTCACTGTTCGTTCCTGCATCAGCATTAGTTGATCAGGTTGCTTTATTTCAACAAACTACATGATCAGTAGAAGCTTATAATGAATAGAAGAAGATCACTAGTACTACTTATAATAACTTGTGAAGACCAGCTGTTACAACCCCCTAAATGTCAGCTCAACAACACTGCTTTCCTTCCACAAGTGTTTTTTTTCCGTAATAACTCCAATTGCTCCTCCAAATAGTTTTGTTCCTTATTCAAGTGAAGGGACTGTTTTCTTCCCGCAGCATGAAAAAGTTTCGCAGGCTAATCAAATGTTCGTTCCCGATTATCACGGTAATTTTTCGAGTTACCCAGCGCCAAATCCCGGTAATTCACATGGTACAAACGCCGGGCGTCCATTTCGGCATGAGAGTTGGTCGTTATTCTGATGCACAGCCAAAAAGATCGTTTTCCTGAGTAAAAGCTGACACAGTTCGATGGCAACCCACTTAATTCGCATGAGTGGTTTAGCCAGTTCGAATCGACGGTCGATTCAGCCATACTCAGCGATGATGAAAAGCTCACCAATCTGAAAATGCTCGTAGTGGGTGAAGCGAAATCCCTGATCGCCGAGTATAGCTATAGCAGAGTACTATATAAGGATGCATTAGCAATTCTTCAGAGAAAATTCAAGGAGCCGCATGAAGTAGTAGTAGCTCGCATGATTAAAATGAGTAATTTTAGGTCTTTGAAAATGCATAACTCGGAATATGTAATTGGCTTTTCCTCTACAATTTCTGGACTCGTTGCGTTATTCAAGTCTCTGTCTTTTCTTTTAACGACCATCTGAAAAGTGTTAACTTACTGAATCAAACTGTGAGCAAGCTTCCTCCGAACCCGAAATAGGCATGGTCAATGCAAACCGTAAAATGTCAATGAAAACAGCCAACTCTGCTAGATTTCAACGAATGGCTTAAAGAAAAAGCGGAGGGTCATGAGAGGCTAGAGTCACTAATCTCTAAGGGTAAATTTGAAGAACCAGTGAAGTAAAAAGTAGGCACTAAACGCTGGTAACGTAGGCTAGTAACGCAAAAGTAACAGATAAGGTTACGAAAAACCAAAATTTCCTCCGTATTCTCTGTGTAAAAGTCAACACGCTCTTCGGGATTGCGCCGTATTCAAAAAGAAAAATGCTATGCAACGAGCGTTACGTGTATACAGATCAATCACAGTTTTCGTAATTGTAGAAAAGCCCGAAAGTTCCATAAGCCAGATTGTGAAAGCTACACAACGTGTTCTTGCATGGAGCTGAAAAAAATTTTCCTCCAAAGGATAATAATTTTTCTACGTCGTCAGGCAAGGCAAATTCTAAACACATCTCAACTAACGCTGCTGTCGGCAATATTCATAGCCAGGAGTAAACAAAGGCCTCCTGCTGGTTGCATTGCTCGGATGCGAAGAATACTAATGCCCTAGTTCTTTGCGGTAGTGCTTCGGCGCACTCATTGGTATCCGCCGATCTCGTGAAACGTGTCCATTTGGTTGGTAATCCCGTTAACCTCGCCATAAATGGATTCAACTTCACGAGCTTGATGAAAACTCATCAAGTAAATTTACAAGTTTCTGCCAAAACGAATAATAGGGATTTTTCGTTTTCCTTTTGAGCTGATGTTAAGAATCATAATCGCATTGAATTAGATAGCATAAGTTTTTGTGAGTTATAGGAA